TTGGCATTAAAATTAGGAGGGTCCAGTAAAAACAAAAGCAAAAAAGAACTAAAATATATATAACAATAAATCTAGTTCAGTAAAGAGAACACAGAAAGCTAAATACAATTATACCAACATAAATCCTCGAACCCTAGCAGATACTGAGAAAAAGGGTCACATACATAGGCTGAAACACATGGGAGGAATAGGGCCTACCCTGTTAAGCGTCCTGCAGCCTTTGAATCGTCTGCTTGGAAAAGGAGGAGGTTGGAAGTGGTCCAAAAAGGAAGAGTCTGCTTTCCAGCAAACTAAGGACTACTGACTTTTGCTGGTGTTATGCTTCGCCAATGCTTCGCCTTACGCAATCAGAGCTGTGTTGGCACACAGGAAATCAATGGGCAAGAAGAAGCTCATTGCGCTCGCATGACGCCGGTTAATATCGGTTGAATAAAACTATAGCCACCTCGACAAACAAGCGTTTTCCCTGATGGTTGGAGTAATTTAATTTGATTAATTTTTATGTGGCAGACACCTTGAGGCAGTCACAAACCACAAGACACTGCTGGGAATGTTCGGAGACGAGAAGGGAACTGCCCCTCAGTGCTCACCAAGAATCCAAAGTTGGGCATTGAAACTCGAAAGCTACAGGTATGACTTCGACTACCGTTCAGGAAAGAGCCTGGGCCATTCGAATGCATCATTTAACTGCCACTGTCAACTAGAAAATTTACAGTGCCCAAAGTGCCCAAGCCTGCAGTGTCTTTCTCCCAGAACATGACTACAAATGTATTTATCCTGAACTATTCGCAAGAGCCACGGATCGGGATCCCGTCTTGTGAAAAGTGTGGGAAATTTCTATGGGCTGGATCAACTTTTCCTGGTACCCCGTAGTGGGAACCCTCCTCAAAAAAGACGCAATAGCTCAGCATGCAGGGCATCTGCGTACTATGGGGCCCGAGAGAGGTCGCTCAGAGGTTGCTGATAGGAAGCGTGCTAGTTATTTTTCATGCGGGACACATGGGAATAGTTAAAACGAAAATGGTCAGAGGAGGTCACGTTTGTTGGCCTGAAGTCGACGAAGACATAAAGCTAAAGGCCGATAGCTGCTTGGCGTGCCATGAAAACTATCGAGCGCTGCAACCAGTGCCAACAGCACCGTGGTTTTTTTCCCGAAAAACCCTGTCGCGCTTTCACGTCGATATTGGAGAGTCATTTCAAGGACGTCAAGGATATTATTTTTTGGTCCTCGTGAATTCTCATTTGAATTGGCTGAAGGTGATGGCCGTTCCGACAACTTCGGTGGAGGCAAGAGTGAAATGTCTGCGAGAAACATTTGTAAAGCATTGGTTGCCTGAATGATTGTCAGAGACAACAGGCATGCATCCACAAGATTCTTATTCACATGATTTGGAGAATGAGAATTCCCTCGTATCACCCTGCATCTAACGGTGCCGCAGAAAGAGCTGCCCAGGCAATCAAAATGCTCAAGAATTCGTTGGTGGGAGACATTCAGACAAAGATTTCACGCGCCTTCCTGCAGTACCGCAGGACACCTCATAACATTACTGGACACACACCTACCGAAATCCTCATGGCACGGAGGCCGAAGATTGCAGTCGACTTACTGCATCCTGACGTCCATTCGAAGGTTCTTTTCAGAATGCTGCAACGGAAAGAACGTCACAGTTACGGAGCTCAACGACAGCCACTACCACGACCAGGCGAACACGCTTGGGCAAAGAACTTTCGATCGGGGCCTGCCTGGGTTCCCGCATCGCTATCACATCCAACAAGCGCTTCTTCATCACAGGTTTTTCTGGAAGATGGAACCAGTTGGCATCGCCATGGGGACTAACTTGAAAGACGAGTCAGTCTCCCCCCTTAGAAGGATACGGTTACAAACATTCCGCCATAATCCACTACATCGCATATTTCGTCACCGGCAACCTGGAGCTCCGTCAGTAGAACAACGCGCACCACCCGAGCCCCAGGTACAGCTGGCCAGCCCCAAACAACGTGACAGCCTTACACTTGGATCGTCCAGCACTCTTATGGCGCATTCATACTGGAAGCGGATCCGCGTTCGCGAAGCGGTCGCCGATGCGGTTTACGAGCGACCTGATTTAGGCACTCCGAGAGGCGGTTGGCGGTTGGCGGTTGGCGGTTTCTCGGCTATCAAGCGTGATTTTTCGAGACGTGCGTTAGGCAACCCTGTTTTACAATCCAAAATCCACGATCGAAAGCAAACATTTTGCTATTTTGGCGGGTGCTTTTTTTCGGCATCGATTTGAAGTCCAGGGGGCGTGGTCAGTGACGTCACACATGTCAAAAGTATATTCGCTGTTATTTCGTCGTAAGCGTTTTTTTTTGTTTTCTTTTAAATGCCGCCGGCTGCATATTTAAACGTCGATCGGTCGGCGTCTGCGTGGTTGGGTGCTCGGCGGTATCCGCGCTGGTGTGTGTTGTCGACGAGCCGTTTGTGCTCGTCGTGTTCTGTTGCGTATCAATTGCCGACATCCAGCAACATCCGGCTCCCCTTTTACAAGTGTCGTGCGCTGCCTCGCCTCTTTGCGTCTGGTAGTGCTCTCGTCGACCATAGGCTACTGGCTGTTTGGGTTTGGCGTCTCTGGCTGGTTTCTTCGGCCATGTGTCGCCACGGCGTTCCACCTTTGCTTGTTTGTCGGTTCTGCCGGTCATCGTCTGTGATGATAATCAGGCTGCTCACACTCGTGGTAGGAGTCCGACGAGAGGTGCCTGCCTAGGCTCTCCCGTACCAAGGATTCCTTTGGATCGCCTCGCATCTGAAGTTGCTCTCCGCAGTGAACGATGATAACAAAGCAGCCATCAGGTCGGCGAGAGCAACACCAGACGCGAAGACGCAAAGCAACGCACGACACTTGAACAATGAAAGGAAAGTCGGCAGCTGAATTTACTGTACCGTGTGTGCTAAAATCGCGAACTAGATGCTTTAAATGACATGGCACGAGCGCGCCTGTAGCGGGTGCTCCAGTAGTGCAGTTTAGGCTACTCACTCTCCGCTTGCACGGTCTTGGCAGCTATTCTATGGAAGGGTGATAATCCGTCGTATTACACAGAGGTGCAGCTCCAGAAAGATCGGTACAAAATTACTTCTTCTGTGCTCTGTCGCCTCCGGTACACTTCTTCATTCGCAACAGGAGTGACCGACGGCACTGGGCGAAATTTGAGAATGTAAAACACTCCTTGATGTTAGAGCTCGACGAACACGAGAGGCACGTCGACAACACACGTTAGCGCGGACACCGTCGAGCATCCCACCACACACACGCCAAGCGACCGACATTTCAAATTGCAGTCGGCGGCATCCAAAATAAATCGTGCTGTTTCCGTCAAAATAAGAGGTAACATTATTTGACCTCCTAGACGTCGAAATAACAGGTGACGTTATTCTGACGTTCGTGACGTCAGAATAAAAATATATAAATCATAATGTATTCGCGAAGAATGTTTAATTTGTGACTGTTAATAAAAAAATACACCGGTGACAAAACATCACTTTTTGTGAACAGGACGGAACAGGTCGCGGTATTTATAGCCGAGACACCAGCGGTACACTAATACTTCAATCAATCAATCAATCAATCAATTGACAGTTATTTTCGGTGTTATATGATGCAGTATGTTCACAAACCATCTGGGCTATAGCCATGCTTCCATGTTTAGAGTTAGCTCGAATGCATAGAACAGCTCGATTTTTAATAGATGCTGAAGTCACAAAATATGACTAAGCTATGGTTTCCCTATTAAGAAACTTAGACGGCACATATAAGGTGCATATAAGTTCCTATGCAATATTATAAGTTACCATATGTTCATTGAAATTAAAAAGAAGTTTCCTGGGTTAGTTTGAGATGTGGCCTGACGTCAGTTATTTCCTTAGTGTGCCATTTGCTTAGTGTTCGTTGGGACAATTTACGTCTGACTGATGCATTTTGCAATATATTTTTGTGATATGGACACCTCTTTACCAGAATGCGGAGTGCTATTGAATAAATTATTCTATTTTTTCTTGTGGGCAATTCTATAAACCCTAAAAATGTTTAGACAAGATTCTGCAAACAGCTAAATAATACAGACTATACTACAAACGCTTTAAAGGGAAGTTGGAGCACTTCTGCGTTCGAGAAAAAAAACTTGTATGCATTCATTGCCTCTAGAATAACAGATATCACAATTATGTTTCATTGCAACACGCCGAAAAGCCATCGAAGCAATTTCAAAATAGGGCTGCAGCTCTGCCTTGAGTAGACAAAAGATCCGTCGATGACGTCACTTACAGCGACTGTCTCTCGCATTTTCTCGCTTTTAACAATACTTGCACAGCAAATGGTTTGGGTATTCGAATTCTAGGTGTAAGAATACACTAGAATACACTTTGAACTCATTTTGGTCTCGAGAAGCTCCGCAGCTTCTTGCTTTGAGTAAAACCCATGCCACCAGTCGCAAGGAACACGGACGGATAACAGCTAGAACTTTGAATCACGATTCGCGTGACTTTTTATTTGTCTGTTCAGTTGATAAAAAAGCAAACTTGGGCATTCATGCTTGTTTTATTTTTACATTAGTCGGCGAAAAAATATTCTGTTCTGGGTAAAATGTATATTAAGCGTGAACTGGAGTTGCGATATCAAAAGATATGGAAAATCATTTTATGGTCTTTTAAAGTTACCTCTTGGAAATCTCGACGCTCATAAACTCTTGCTGGGGATGAACTGTACGTTCAGTCTAATTTGACTGGGACACTATGTAGAAGAGAAAAAAAGCTTTTAATTATATGTACTAATTAACGAAACCAACCAGGTCAAAAAGCTGCAAGAACAAGAAGCAATAACATTTAAAGGGTTCTGATCTAAAATGTAATAAAAAAAGTTTAATTTTCCTTAACACCTCTTTTTTAATCTTTATGCATTTGGAACTGCCAAATATCAACATATTTTTGGTGACTAATTTTTGCAATTTTTGACATTCCCTAATTTCAGCGCGTCCCCACCACATGGGAATAACAATTGTAGCAGATGCGGCTTTTCAAAATGCACAAGCTGAAACTGGTTACGATCAGCATTTGTACTTACAAACTCTTGTGGACACGGTAAGTAGCGCGTGACAAACGGGAGAAATATAAATTAGGTTTGCTATCAAACACCCCCTTGAAATAATAAGCATAATGTTCTCTATCTCCTGCTGAATCCGGAGGCCTGATGCTTGAACTCGAGTCTGAGAACGAGCAAAATAAAACACTGAACACGCAACTATACCAAGCACGACACTTCATTAGGAGGCAAATTTGAGGACTGCTTCAAATAAAAAACGTATTCTTATTTTAATTTTCTACGTTTCACTCCTCGGGCTATGTATCAGCTTTTGAAGCTATAAACAAAGAGGGTCGATCTTTGTACCAAAGCCTGCTTATTTTTTTTTTTTTTTAAATGGGATAAAGAATGAAATTTAGATGGTGAAACCGCAGTCAAGACAAGGAATGTTGTTTTTGTTGTTCACCAACACGTGCGTTACTTTTCAATATCAATTCTTTCCCTGGCACGCAGCATATTAACGTAATTCGAAATCGAGCACTTTTCCCTCCGTGCTATCATGCAGGTATGCTTTACATAGACTGGGATCACAAGCTAACCTCAAGGCGCATTCCTTTAAATACGGCTACTTTGCGTTTTATTAAGAAGACACGATATGTAGGCCTGGTAGGGTTGTGTTTCAACAAAGCTTCGGGCCGTTAGTTCTTTTCATCTACTTAGTCGTTTTCTAATTCCTTTTCGAGTTTTATTGTAATTTGGCAAAACGTTTCGATGTCTGCAAACACCCTTGCTTTTTATACAAATAGCTAAAAAAAGATGAACGACAACTTTTTCGGTGATTGACCAATTGATTGTTAGGTGTACTTTCTGATCAAGAAAGTCAAAGATAAGAGAAGGTGACCTGGTTTTGTTCTATTTAAAATTTTTTATAAATTTACACACCATTATTAGCTCACATGATCAACTGCTTGTTTTCGCTGCGAAAGCATTAACTGTCTCATGGAGCGAGCCGATATCATCAGCTTTGAAACCATCGGAAACGGCACCTTAAGGAAACCAACCGCAAAAGCAGATTGGGTTATGGGGATATTTATACAGCGTGTAGTTGGTCAGCCATTAAAGTTGCGACGAGTCACACGCTGTAGATGAGAAATTGAGCCAGTGCAGTACAACCGTTAGCCTGTGGTCTTTAGCGTGCACCACGCAATAGTGATACACCACCGCACGCTGGTACGATGTTCATCCAGATCGATACGGGCAGGGGTGGGGCTCGAGCCCAGGATCCCTGGGTTCTGCAGCGCGAGCTTTCGCTCCACGCACGTCGAGCTGGGTGTGCGCTTTAGCCCACTCGGCCACCGATACCCCAAACCACGCTCAATGTTAGCCAACGGCACCTTTTGCACTTCGGTCCCATTGGCTCGCACGCGTCGACGAGGCTTCCATTGGCCGCTGCGCTTCAGTCTGTGTGGTGTCATCCTGAATGTATTTCACACTCTTGCCTTATCAGTAATCACCGCGTTCGCTCGCCTCTTATCGGTTGTACGGAGCGTGGCAATATATTCGGCACTTGAAATAAACCAAGGGGTTTGTTCTGCTGGGAATTACGTTGCTGTCCTTTCCTTTCTCGTGCCGCAAGGCACATGATAGTTTGAAGGATCGCTCACCCGATGGCGCTGCGTGTCCGCGAGGCAGCGCCTCCCCCGTTCCATGACCAAGGTCAGCGCGTTGCACGTCGAAGATTAAAGATGGACCACGAAAAGCAGCGTGGGTGCTTTCGCATTCACAACTCATAAGAAGGGCTTAGGTGTACTTCGAGCCTTTTTTTATTTTCCTTTTTTTGTCTAACAGTTTTATAACAAATTTCTATTCGAGAAAAGTTTTAAACGGCTTGACTTATTTAATTTTTTCTTCAGCAAACATTGTGTAAGTAGATAACCAATGTGAACTTTACATATGGTTAGACTGTTGAATCCCGCCCCGCTTCTTTCTAACCGTCAAAATGAGCTCAATTAAAGTTTCCTGAATGCTCCAGATTGGCATGGTTAATATCAACTGAAATCGCTATATGACAGCCCGCTTATATAGGTTTCTCAGAAGCAGCATTTCAAGCAAAATTTAATTCGAAGGCAAACAACGATTTTTCTAAGCATTCATTCCTTTTTAGAATACTATCAAATTAAAACACGAACACCATTGGATATAGTAAAAATCGATATTGTAGATTTGTGTTAAAAGAAATCGCATACCAACACTGTTTTACAAGCTCTCCAACTTCTGATTATATTTTATTTATATTATGTATGTTGGCGACCATTCTGTCCAAGATCCAATTTTACATCTAAATTATTAGGACTCCAGATGATTCATATATTACGTCCGTTATATTAAAAATGTTCGATTATCTTGGTCTTACATTGTTCTTCTTCACACTACATTCTTTTATTTTTTTTTCAGCGTGAATTTTATGCTTTTTTTCTTTGTAATTCCCCATGGGCTTTGAGGGTATTAACATTAAAAAATACATAAATAAATATGGGCTCAGAGTTTCACTCTGCATGCTAGAAAATAAATAATTTATTGGATACTATTTCCTAAGGATGAGAAATTTTATTTTTTTAATGCTGATGTTTATTTTCTAATCTTGACAGCACCGATAAAACACTAAACACATCGCTTTGCAAAGAGCCACAAATATATTCACCAAAAAGATATCAGCATATGATCTGTAAGGCGAGTTAAACCTCAATGTTTTTTTCTGTAAGTTAAATAATAACGATCCCAGCACTCCTCCCTGCGGTACTCCTGACTGTACCATATTCTGTGGAAAGCAAATATTATTTTATAACATCGTGCGTTCCTCTTGAGGGAAAGTTTTGAATTCAATTTATAACAAACATTTATGTCTGCCGAGAGCCATTACTTTCAAATATGACGGCACTGCGGAACTTTGTCGTAGGACTGCTTATATTATTGATTTTTCAGTGAAAACAAAATTATAGGAATGCATTCACGAAATGTAACGGAACATAACTCACATACAACTTACATGCTTTGTATAAATAATGGTATGTTTCTTGAACAAATATAAGACATCTTATTCTATTTACCATCTGCTATGACGGTGCATTTAGTAGTCCTTACCTACCCTACACGCGTACATTAAAAGCTCCGCTTCGATCGATCATATTCTGGCGCCAACCGTTTAAAGCGAAATATGTCAAATAAACAGAGTTGAATATTTTATGGTTGCACGCTGTGTTTGAATTTTACCGGCATTTTCTAGCCTATACCGATTTGGAAGTGGACGTGTGAGGTGTCGTCCGAATTATCATGCCCATCTTCACCGAGAAACCTAGCCTGCTGCGGGCGCTGGTCTCGCTCCATCAAGATTGTTTGTTGTTGTTTATTTTTACATTTTTGCGCCTACTATTCAGCTTATGCAGCTAGGAAAAAAACGTTCATTCAAATAGTGCGCTTAAAATATGAGATGAAGATTCTTTTTTTAAACGTTAATGTTAATTTGGTTTGTCAAAGTGCTTCTTGCAGTTTACTCATTCTTATCGTAAAAGGCTACGCCATTCTTCTTACATTTATTATAAAGCATTTATTATAAAAAAAATTACTTCCGGGAGCCATTCGTTATCTTTGAGAGAATGCCTGTTCTAAACACAGTAAGAAACGCCATGCCCCAGGTAACACAGCTTTCTAGACTAAGATTTGATTTTTGTCGGTTAATTTACGGACATTGAAATCCAAACCTTCACGACTTAACCAAACTTCATATTCTTTGCCCAGAGTCCGAGTATTTCGGCTCTAAGTTGCATAAACCTAGTATATCAGGACAGTCCTCATGGTAAGCCGGATAATTACCTTAAATACTCTATTTATCGTATTAAATAATGAAAATAGAGATACGGTATATTTAGGCACTTGCTAAGGTCATTTTAAGCCACTAAATCAGTTGATTTTAGAACACTTTGAAGCACGTGAGGAGAGCGGGCGTACACCAGCGTTAAAACTCGCGCAAAACGCGCAAAGGTAGTGGTGGTCGAACTCTTATTTCTTATTTATATCAACGACCGTATTGCACGTGTCTCCTCTTCAATAAGCCAGTATGATGATGGTTGTGTTATTTACAAGGAAATTCTTAACGATTCTGACACCAACGTCCTTCAAACTTATAATAATGTCGCTCGCTGGTGTGCAGATTGGTTTAAGGGACTTAACATTTCTATAAAGAGATCTATGAAAGTGTCCCGTCAACATAGAACGTGATCTTTCTACTAAATCAATAATACAATTCTTCTTTCTGTTTGTTCCTATAAATATCTTGGTGTTCGCTTAGCCAATATTCCATTCTGAAATATTCTTGTCGAATATGTCACTAAAAGTGCTTATCAATATACTATACCATGTTTCACCTTATGATGTACGGCAGAAAAGACCACAAGCGCGAGCTCCTTGCTCCAGGGCAGATCACGGGGGCTCAAGCTCTCGTGCGTTAAGAGCAGCTCCCAACGCCATGAGCTTGCGCTTCTGCGGTACCACGTCAGGTGAAACAAGGGGGGGATCGGTGGCCGAGTGGGCTAAAGCGCACACCCAGCTCGACGCGCGTGGAGCGAAAGCTCGCGCTGCAGAACCCAGGGATCCTGGGCTCGAGCCCCACCCCTGTCCGTTTCGATCTGGATGAGCATCGTACCGGCGTGCGGTCGTGTATCACTAGTGCGTGGTTCACGTTAAAGACCCCAGTCTAGCGGTTGTACTGCACTGGCTCAATTTCTCAACTACAGCGTGTGACTCGTCGCAACTTTAATGGCTGACCAACTACACGCTGTATAAATATCCCCATAACCCCACAGAAAGGTGAAACAGAGTTTAGGCTATCTCAAAGCAATCATTTTGGTCAAACCTGCGCCTCTAAAGCTTTTTTTTTACACAAAACTTTAGTTTGCTATAACCCTAAATATGCAGCCTTTATCTGGAACCCTGGTATCACCCTTGCGCCTGCTGTTGAGAACATCCAAGATCGCTCCGCTCGTTTTTTTTTTTTTTTTGTGTTTTTTTTTTTATTTATTATCGCACAGTCAGCGTTACCTCAATGAAAGCATATCTATTTTTTTTTCAATTCTCTTTCGCTATCTTTTTGTCTGAGGACGACGCTTTGATCTAATATAAAACAAACTACTTTAATTGCCGGACATAAGGTACAGAAATGTCTATGCCGTTAGGAAGCCATTTTCTTCTGCCTTCTCCTCTCGTCGTAGTGCACAGCTCGTGATGAAGCAGCCGTGGACGTCGCAGCTCCAATGAGCTGGCCGCGTGCTTGCTCCCTTTTGCGGTGTCCTCGCCGCTCTAAAAAGTTCGAAAACGTTTTTCGTAATAACATTATTTCGTTAATGTCTTTGTTACGAGATTTATCGCCCTAATCCCACACTTCGTGAAACATTGTTTATAGAATCATCTTACATATTATCACGAACAATCACCAGTTATAGATAGGCATCCCCCATTGTAACATCCGCTCGTTTAATGCGTCTATTTTACCCCAAACCTCAGTAGATTGAAATCGCCTTCCCGCGCCCATAGTCTCGATCACTGGTGCTGTTGATTGTAACATTGCTCTTACTAAATGTCTTGTTGTTCCTTAGTCATTTGTTCCTATTTTGCCTTGTTCGTCTATATACTCATATATTCTTTTGTTAAAACTCACGCATCTGTGTAATGCCTTCGGGCCTTGAGTAAAAATAAACGAAATGAAACAAAACCTGCGTTTCCCAATCGCCAGCTGTGCACCTGTTACACGAGTGGTAACTTTGGTACATCTCTGCTCTCCTCAAGTGCTTCAGGTCGTTCTAGAGCTAACTGAAATTGTTGTTTCGGTGATGTTAAGAAAGTTTCTAGATATAACCTGATCTTTATGTTGCATCACTGAACAATTATATAACATATTTTACCTATTTTCAATGAATCGGGAGGGTTTGCCACTTATATAAACCCCCTGACCTTATAACTCATCTGCGCAGAACCACATTAGTGTAGCTTTACCTCATAAATCTGTTGAAATTAAGAATCACACGTCCTGTATTTATTACCAAGTAAACTCAGTTTGCTATTGTATTACAGCCTCTTGATGCACAGCAGCTCAAGCGAAGCACAATTTCAATTTTTTAACGACTATTTAACATCATCCGCCAGAGGAAATCATCCATATATATGAAAAGAAAAATCTTTATTCCAGGTAAACCTATATTTCGCGGAACTCAGATGCTCCAACGTCAAGCTCGTCTTAATACAAGTTGTAAATTCGACCGTAAGTATAAACAAACACATTTCGGGCTACAATTTACGTTCAAACTTCATCCCATGAAAAAGACTATGGATCTTCACAAAATCAAACTCCTAAAAGCACAATTTAATACACAAGTCTGTTTTAGAAGTTTATCTTAAGTTTTTGCTAGCGTACAGTTACTGTTGGCTAACAAGTATATGGCATGCTATACAGTGGGCAATGGAAAAAAAATTCTCACAAGAATTTAAGAAAAACGTTTATACCTAAGGGAGGTTTCCTTCTTTTAGTTCTTCCGGCCCTGCTAGGTCTCGTTTCAATCCTGGAAAGAAGAGCTATCACCAACGCATTCAATGTCAAAAAAGAAAAAAAAATTACCACCTTGTAACTTATAGAGAGCGAATTCTCGACATCTTAAATGATCAGAATTATAACCGGACTACATCAAAGTGAAAACGAAAAAAAAAATCATTCAAACACTTCAAAAATGTTTTCGTCCCTACGGTTTCGGCAATACCGAGATTCATGACCCTGACGACAACGGCAGCGATGAAGGCCTCACGCCGTCTTCCCTCACGAAAGAAAAGTTATCGCGGGAAAAAAAAAAAACAAGCAGGATGGCCACAACGTTATTGCCGCGACCAATTATCTGAGTAAAATGTTCAGAGAGAAAGGTCGATCACTTCTGAAGTTCCTGAACACCGTGCTGACATGGGATCCGCACACCTTAGACATTATAATAGAGGAAAAACCGCATCAAAATTCGAACATCGTGGATTCGATTCACTATTTAATCGCACGGCACAAACGTTTGCTTGTTCCCACCCATTTTGATCGCGTCACGGCGCTGTTGCTGAAGCAAAATCCGTCAATGAGCATAGTAAGTTATGACCGTTTTAAAAAAGAGGATGACCAGAGCACAATCGGGCCATTCGGCGCACATTATCGTCTTCGCCCACTTCACCGAATGCCTTCGTGAAGTTTCACTGAAGCAGAAGACCGGATCGTCGCCGCCGCGACCGCCGCCACCGCAACCGCTGCCAGCCTTCACTGTTGGTACTGCTACTGTCCGGCTGTCCAAACGTCTTGCCGGAAAGGCATGGAAGATATTTTCGACGACACAAAAGATTGCTCAGACGACAATAAAATCTTCTCTACCTTTTATCACCGCCTAAGAAAGAAGGTCAACGCCCTCTTGAAGGCCATTTTGTCCGTGTTTGCGTACACCTCAGATGGAAAGTTTGTCGAAGAATCCAACATCATCGATTTAATACCTTACGAGCTATACAACCGACAACCTCTCTGGTTGAGAGGTGCCATTTCCCCCGCAATCAATTGCTACCTGGATCTTTCACCGTTTTGAGCTCGCTCATACAACCCATGGCCAAAGAAGAAAACATGGTGCCACGCCAAAGAAGAGGAGCAATGTCGTCTGTTACAGAGACAGTCCTCGTGCATCCTTCGTTGGGATCAATAGACCCGCGCGACACACAAAGCGGAGAATAGGGGAAACGTTTTTAGAAGGCTCTGAGACGAACACCTTGTTCAGGCAAACTAAGCGTCCTCGATTATACCGCAAACGATTGTCCATGGGCCTCAGAGACGTGTATCACGCACACAATGGGGAAATAAAAAAAATTTAAAAAATTTAACAATGGGAATAGGGGCATTTTAATTGCAATCGGCACGTTTTCGTGATTTCTTTTTGCAGTCCCCATTTAAGAAAAAAAAAGAATAATATTAGAACGGGACGGAAGGCAGCCAGAGCGCTTGAAATATAGTTTCGTAATATGAAGAAAAGCAAGTTTTTATGCACAGACCATGGTCCTAACTTTTACGGAAAATTAGTGAGGTCGTTTCTCGCAAAGAATGCTGTTAAGCCATATTTTGTGTATTCAAAGCAAAAAGCTGCGCTAGCGGAACGTATACAACGAGCAGTAATGAGTCGAGTTTATAAGTACCTTGAGTATGCAAGAACGAGGCGATCAATCGAGAGTGTTCCTAACCTCGTTAAATCCTACCAATCCAGCTATCACGGAGCGCTGGGCACGCCACCCATCGCCGTCAACGAGTAGAACCAGTCCGCATTTCTCCTCCGCATGTAACCTCTTTCTGGACCTGCCAAAAAACCTAAATTTGATGATGGCAATCACGTGCTCATATCAAAGTAACACCACGTTCACTTCAAAAAGTTAGAAAATAGTTCACGGACGAGATATTTATCGTCGACAGAATCCGATTATGCGTTCCAACAATCTACCGCCTCGTTGACAGGGCCTCATTCGATCTGGCCTCGTACTTTAAGGAAAGCATGTGCTTTGCTTTGAGGTAAAATTAATAAAATGCGCGGGTGACTGTTATATTACAATGGGGAACTTGGTGAGTTCTAACGTAAAATATTTAGTTGCAGTAAAAATATTAATAAAACTACGGCTAATATTTTTAATAAACTGCGATATTCTGGCTACTTTTCTCTCTCTCTCTCTCTCTATATATATATATATATATATATTTTTTTTTTTTAATTACGTCTTTAGCGAGGGTATTTACTAGAAAATGTGTATGAACTGCTTTGTAGATTTCATTTTCATTTCAACTCGCTTGTTTAGTTGTCATCTTTACATAGGTATTATCCGTTCTAGAGACAGTCAATAAAAAAAATTAAAACAACATTACGCGATGTACTGTGTTTAATGTTTTTTTAATGCCTCATTCGTGCAGAGATTGGGGAAAAGTCATGAATGCAACTGATTAAGAACTGATGCTTGAGGTCGCGCTATTTGGCTGAAACTACGCAGACCAAAAAAAGCAGACCAAAAAGTAAAAGGCAGGATTTTAGAATATTCATCGCTTTACGACAAACTACGTTTAATTTTGTCTAAACCATTTTATATGTGAGCGCAATCAAATCCTCGCTCGTTGAAATGTTAGATTGGTAGCTAAAGCCCCATCTGTATCCAAATTTCTTAATTGACTTGCGTTTATAACTTCTAAGTTTGAAAAAAAAATGTCATTTAGTAGCAATTTTACATGTATTCAATACTATGATTATTCCGTCCTCTATTTTTATTCATAGGCTGAAGACGAATCGATATTCGAGATGTTTAAAAACACAACCAAAAGCAGTGGAAGGTCTCTGGACCCACACCTCACTCTGGGAATGTTCAGGGAATGGGCAACATATCAAAGTTTCTTTAACAATAGTGATGTCGTCTATTTGATAACAAGGTAGGTGTGCCGTTCTGTGCATTCACGTGTCAGAGCGCAATAACGGAGAAAACTACTTTCAGTCACAAAATTTTCGACTTTATCATGGCGTACCGACTGGAGATGAAAGGTAAGACTTGCTTTATAACAAAGGCATACCATACAATGTCGCAGAGTTTTTGTGAACGTACTATTTTGCACTCTAAAATTTTCGTCGCACAGTTATTCAGTTTCACGTGCATTTCAAAGGATTTTCACAAAGTAGGTCAATATATCCATCAAACCTAAGCAGCGCGTGAATACAAAGACCGCTCATCCGTTTCTAATTCTTTTTTCCTGGATTGTGAATGGGTAGATAATATAATCTTCCATTTACCTACGTCCTACAGGCAGCACTACCTCTGTGAGCCTATGCAACCACTTTCATTCATATTCCGAATCTCTACTCTCGTTAAAAATGTTTTTTCCTCAATGATGTATGAATCAATGAGTCAATTCTTAATGCGTATAAAATTTTATTAGAAATCAGTTCGAAACAAAGCAAAATGTTTAAAGTCATCACAGCCTCGTTACGATTACCGATCTCAACAATCTTTCAGGAACTACAATATTCAAAGAGCAGCAGCTTTTTTTTTTTCTGTGTCTGTGAGCACACGCAATATTTTCGCTTAATTAGGGCATAAATGGTGGTTTAATTGTATCAATTGTGAGCAGAATAAAACAGATGGATGCAGTTTTTTAATCTCGCAACGAAACGTCATTCACTGCAGTACAAGCACTGCTACTCCCAACTAAAAACAGAGTTTTGCGCTACTGCCAGTGCGGAGCACAATTATGGTAGCCATGTTCTTTGAGAATGAGAGCGTCATCGCCATCCACTGTGTCCCGAGGGAAACAACGGTGACGCCCGCATCCTACAGAGGCGTTAAGAAGAAAAGGAGATCTCACCGTATTATAAATAGAAAAAAAAAACTTTTGACGCTTACGGCGACATTTTATTCTACCTTCAGTAATCAGACCACCAACTCTCCGGTGTTACCCGAGAAAAGAAGTAAATTTGTGTGTCACGGTCAAAGTTGAGGAGAAAATTGTTAAATTTTTTAATCAACAAAGGGTGTGAGAAAGTCGGCGTGCAACTGCCTGACCTTACACCCATCGTTTTGCACTCGCCAGGGTTGTAAACGAAAGGTCAGAAAATCATACAAATCTTCGAAAGATATGTATTATATACAATCAGCAATATATTACCGAAATTCAAATAACATCTTGAATCAGCAACAATATAGTGCACAGCACTCATTTCGCATAGGGAAAAATATAAATATATAAATGCATAAAAAATAGCATTAGTTATAACTTCAAGATATCAGAATAATGTCACGAATGACAAGTGATGAAGCGGCGAATGACTGAGTGAACTGAATGTTTAATGGGGCGAACTTGTGCCCAAAAATAAAAGTGAAAAAAGAAAGACAACAACAGAGCGCCACGGGCGTCGAAGGCAGCGAAGCAGCAGGATCGAACGCTGAGGCGAAAACCGACCCTGGCTCGCCATGCGAATCCCCTTATGTACACGCCTGGGCTTCTGGAATAATCGGCGTAGAAGGTTCGAAGCGTAGAACATTCGGACCTGGAACAAGAAACAGGATTCTCGAATTTTCCAGAGATCTACACTGCAGGAATAAACAAAAGACAGGTTGCTCCCAAGAATCGAACCCTGGCGTTTCGTGTGGGATGCAGGCGCGATAACCGTTAGGCCACGAGCGCGCAGCCTACTTGACCAGCTGCGCGCGCGGCAATATAAGTTAAATATTTTCTCGGATTCGGGCTTTCACAAAAATATACCGCTAGCAAAGCGTCCATCTAGATCTGTTGCGTGAGACGTCTAACTAATTACGGGCAGACGGGCAAAGAAGTGAAACATTAAGGTGTAGCACGAACATGACAATAAGAAAGCGGACCTGAGTTGTCCTTCCCATGTTAAACAGTAATCGTCATATAGAAAATAGCTTTTGACCGCAGAAACTAGTGACGAATATGCATTTTCGTAATTCGCATAGCAATCTACGAAGATTGATTAATCTTAATTATTTTTCTAAAAACAAATGTTATTGAAATGGTTCATTTGCGTAAGTTGCTATACAGAGTCTAGAATCTCTGTGGTGGGATGTATACAATGTTCTGGCATCTCCGTATTTCCGGCAGCCGCGTCCTACGCCTACGGGGTGTGTTCGAGGTGGCGGGTGGCACTTAGCTCGGATGACGGCAAGACATTTTCGGGCGTTCCCGCTGCAGTTCAACAAATCGCCAACTTGTGAGTCAATATCTTTCTATAGATTGCTATTATAGTGTTTTGGGGAGGTACACCAATCAAGATACCCTTGTGTTTATTTTTGGGCTCTTTAAATGAAGCTTATTATTAATTTATCATTATTCTTACAAGTATTAAATCCCATGTCACTCCGCCTTAAAAATCTCTAAAACATTCTAAAAATATCCATTCACATAAAGAATAAAGTAAATACGAATTTGACTACAAGGAACAATATTTGCAGGTTTGTACTGAAGTTTTTGAAATCTAAACATGAAATAAATACCATTAAGATCACTGCAAGCTACAACCTTTCATTTTGCCCTAAATAGTTTTTCACAAAATGATTTAAGATATTAGACATGAAGAGACATAATAATTGAATCCACATGCCTGAGGAGACACGCTCAACGTTATGAATTATTCACCTTATGTGCAAATGTGTAATTAAGGATTGAACCGGCACAAACCCAAAATATATTTTTTTATATATCTTATTCGAAAAGACAAAATCTGCATTATGTTGAGCTGCTTGTCAAGTCAAAACGACTGCTCTCTACAAAAACCGGGCTGAACTGACATCAGTATTCCTGGCTCTTTTCAAATGGTACATATTTTAGCACCCATATCATGCATGACCACTTGCGAAATGATACATTTCATTCACAAGTTTAAACAATAAACTCCTCGTGAGCCTCGCTTGTCATTTAAACGTAACCTGTACCATCTTCTGTACTCTGCAAGGGTCACTTTTACTATATAAAAAATTTCATGATAAGGCGCGACTATTTTTAAGTCGGCATGGCAACATGTATTTTTCTGTGTTTTATTTACAGGTTGGGAGTTGATTGGGACGATAATAGGAAAAAAGTGGGGTGTACTCCTCAGGATGGTCATGTGATGAGCAGAAATGGTGAACCCACCCAGCACCCAACCTTCTCAAATTGCAGCAAAGAGTCGTGGGAAGAACGGACTCTGATGTCTTTAAGGTAATATTCTCTTTTTTTTTGCAATGTTTTCGTATGTATTAACCAGTTACTATTTTAACGCTCTAAATATTGCGTTTAGCTACGTTTATTTAAATTTCAATAGCGGTGTTAGCAAATAACCAATTCAAATTACAGGACTTGTGTCACGCCGATTGCATGCATTTCCTTGTATAATTGGGGTTTTAAAATAAAAACCTAGTTCAAGAGAGTGCATATTTTCTTAATATATTAATAAGTTTGTCCGCCAATAAATCTTACATTCAATTCTTGAAATATTTTTATTCTATAGACATTTTGCCAGAGCTGTCGCTATCCAAATTGCGTGACTTGTTCTAAATCTTAAATAATTTTTGACAACGACGGGAACACTATGAAGCCTAAGATCACCTCGTGACCCAGTTCGGCTCTTTTGTTGAATTTTGACCCAGTCGAAATTTTTTAGATCGAATCAGTTTAACTTCTGCAGTGCAGAGAAAGCTACTTTGTTTTGCATGGTTTATTATTCATAGTGGCTCGCCTGTTCCTCGATTTCTTTATAAATCATCAAGTACGCTGAAAGAGACAAGTGCAATGAAAGGTGCAGATTGAACGACCTATCTCAAGAACTGCTCTTCACAAATACATGAAAGTGGGCGTCTCGTTCGCGCATGTAATACTTGCATTTTTGCGTTGGTGAATCAGAGTCGCACAATTGCTGCGAAATAAACTATCAAAAGGTTAAAAAAAAATCACAAAATGGCAATCTGAAATTACAATTCAATTTATGTTTATTACTGCTCCAATATATTAATTCAAGTTAAGTTGAAATGGCACAGTATATGAAAAAATTTATATTCTCAAAACAACAACATTAAGCAGTGTTGAAATTCACTGTCAAGTGTTAAAAACATCGATTTCGAAAACGAGTTGATAGAATGTTCCCTTTAGAAATATAACAATTTCTGTTTTTTTTTTATTTTATAAAGGTTCAAATTTTCCACCATCCATGTAACTTCATGCCCTAGGAAAGCGATATTGTAAAATTTGAAGCAACCTGGAAACAAAGAGGTTCGAAACTTTTATGCTTACTGCTCTAAATAAAGGACTGAAATCTAAAAAAAGGTTTGAGATCTTCCAGAGGGTTGAAGTTTCAGGCGGGTCGTATTTTTACACAAACGTTAAGGAGCTGTTCTAGTGCGAGGTTTCCCACGCACACACCAGCGCTGACTGAAGTCTGCTGCGTCACGCCGGTTAAGCTGGGCCCGTCAGAAAAACGTTACCGTCTACAATTCTACCTGCTTCAACTTCTTCGATGGCGCACTGCCATCGCGTCGCATGCGAAGAACGCTACCTCGAGCGCGCGCTTTTCCTTTTTTCTCCGAGGCGCCTTCACGCAATTTCCAGTATTGCCATCTTCTGTGCCGTGCTTCGCTCTAACCAAATGCATTCATTGTTTGTTTGTGTGTGTTCGTGTTTTTTTTAATTCGGTAGCATTAACCGTCCCAGGTGCGCACCGACATCATCAGCATTTGAAGCCAGTCGCCTGCAGCAGCCAAGCCTGTCGTCTGTAGCAGAAATGTGATAGATAGGCTCCCATTGGCTGGCGCGCGTCATAGTTTCAAGGAATGAGGCTCCCATTGGCTCTCGCAAGGCGTATTTCCCTGGAACGCCCCACGAGAAGCCCTCTCCATAACGGCGCTGCGGCCCGGCCGCCCCTAAGAAAAAGCGGCTGGCCGCGAAGCCCGCAGAGCCCGCACGGGCAGACACCGGTGTGGCCGCACGGCCGAGCACAGCACCGCGCGGCCACTTCACGAGAGCGCACATTCGGCTGTCGGGAGGAGCCTGCAGATCGCGATCCAAACCGCCTCAGACGGCAAGAGGTGGAGGCAGTTTTACAACGCGAAGTTGAAGCAATAGGTCGCAGCCAGAATGCTTTCGCACTCAAAACTCAAAAGAAGTGGTTAGGGTGTTTTTTTTTGTTGTTTTTTTTTAGAGTGTTTTTTTTTTGTAGTCGTCGGGTTTAGTGTGTGTGTGTGTGGGGGGGGGGGGGGGGGGGGGCGGGGGGGGGGGGGGCTGGATGTGCCCAGCACGCAGAAAGATGGTGATGGCACTGTGTCTGCATCTCCTGCGCCGCAAGCGCAGTCGATCCGCACATCCCACCTGTGGTGGCGATGCCATTTTGCTGCCGAATCGTTCCGATGCTTGTTTTTTTTTAGAGCGCAGCTCTTAGGGGCCAGTTTCCGACTTGAGCGGCGTCGGCGTCGGCAGAACCGCGAGGTCACGTGACCACCTCAAGGTCACGTGACCCCCAGGGTCACGTGAAGCACCCCCCCCCCGACGTCACGTGACCCAGATAACGTGACCCCCGAGGTAACGTGACCCCTCCCCCAGGGTCACGTGACTCCCCCGCCGGTCACGTAACCCCTCCCTTCCAGGGTCCCGTGACCTCCTCCCCCGAACTCACGTGACTTCCCCTCGCGAGGTCACGTGACCCCCCCCCCCGTAGGATATTGAAGAATGAGGGGAGGAGGAGAAGGAGAAGGAGGAGGGGTCTTCCCTTCCCTCCTCCTCCCCCCTCAGTACCCTTCCCTCCTCCTCCTCAAGAGCTGCGCTCTAATTCGGCGTTACAGGGAGATGTAAACAGCTTTGACTTTTTTTCCTTGGTCTCCATAGTCATTACACTTCGTGCAATAGACACAGGGATGTTGCCGTGTGCCTTCGAGCAGCTTCTCCAGCACGGTGGCCGTCCGCTCCAGCATCGCTTCAAGGCTTTCCGCCGGTCGTGTCTGTATAATGCGTCGCCATTTTCCACATGCAGCTGCTGCCCGGGAACCCCTCGCGAAATGCGTGCTGATCCCGCGGCTTCGACGTAGCCGGCGCGAAATGACTGCGAACCCATCTCCGCGCTGACGACGACTGCGCGCTCCGAATGCGGCCGATCGCGTCGGCTGCGGCAGGACGCCGGCCTCTAATCTCGAGTGTCTGCTTTTCGTCGTCAATGTACCCTCGTTGTGCCACGCGCTCAATCGTGCGAGCCTTATGTTGGGGTTTAAATGGCTTGTTATAGTACGACGTATTCGGCGTGGCCACCAGCGGTGCTCGGCGCTTGCTGCGCTGGCCACGGTTAGGGACGCTCTGGTTAGGGTGGAAGCAACTCAAATCCTACATAGCGTTTGCAATTCAACGGCGGCGCCTGAGGGAGAGTATTAGGAAAAGATATGCGCCAATGTTGCCTGCACAAGAGCAGACGCTCGCATTGTTGCCCGATGTGCCTTTCCTCCTCTTACATCCCGTTGCAATCAACGAACGCCTTGACGTAGCCTTTCTCCCTTCCTTCTCGCGCCGGGAATCGCAAAGGTCGAGAGGATACAGCAGGGTTGCCAGACAAGCAGCAACGTCCAATATGACGGAATTTATCTTTTTTCGCATTAAATAAATAATTCACCTATCGGAGCGAAACTGGTGGCTATAGAAAAGTAATCATTTTTACCTTACGTAAACGATTCAAGCACATTGGTGGGCTCTTATGACCTGAGTTAGGAAATAAAACGACACTTTCCCCCGTAGACCCCCAGCAAAATTTAGCAATAACATGGCGTCCATGTTCCGTGATCCCCGATCTAGCAGTTGCGCGCATTCTTACGGAACCTCCCTAGCCACGGCGCGTGAGAGATGCTCCTCCCTACAGTCCGCCCTGCTCCGGAACTCCAGGTGTTACTGCGCAAGTGCTGCGAGCCATGCGAGCGCGAAATACAGAAAGCGAATTAGAGAAGGACCGATTCCGCGACGGCACAGCCCAAGCGCCCAAGCCGCCGCCGCTTGCGATGGCTATCGGCGAGGCGCCGGACTGTAGAGTGCCGGCTCTTCGACAGGGTGACCTAACCATGCTGCGCGTACGCGCGCGGCCGCGTTACCTCGAATTATAGGGAGCCCTTAACAGAGCCTTAACAGTTAACACGTCGTCAGAGTTTTCAAATGGTAGATAAGATCCCCACATGTTTCATTGAAATAAGATGTAAAAAAGTCATAATTTAAAGTAAAAGCTAAAAAAAAGAACTGATGGGTCACAAAAAGCAAATATTTTGTTTGTAGTACATAATTCGCGTGAATATATTCCGCCTTGTGTACGGATAGCAAAAACGTCACAGGCGTCTTCATACGACTGAGCATTTCCGTGACGCTTTATTTAAAATTTTGCTTATGAATTGCGAATGTAAATTATTGTTTCACTTATCTAAGATAATTTGACAACCGAAATTTTAACATATGTATACTCCGAACAGCGTGTTCCTTGTAGTCTTTGTGAACTTCGGCAACTCTTGGTTCCTGCGAAACTTAAATTAAACCCGGTGTTCGCGGGCAGACTTCCATTGACGATTTTAACCCTTTAGATAAATAGGATATTCTAGGATATCCACGCATGCTTGTATATTTTGATGGAAATGAAGTACCTGCCTTGCTTAGTGAGGTCGCCAAATTTCGAACTATTCGTAGGTTTTAAGAGAGCATTAATGAAATAATTATATTGCGCCACAAATAATATACTAATTCCATAATACCGTTCTAAGTTCGTAATTAATAAACTTTGCTGCCGCAAATTTCTCTCTTATCGCATCTGCTAATGTGCGCGACTCGTATTATCTTTTGCCGACAGCCTAAGGCCATGCTACAAGTTGAACATGTCCCTGATGTCCACTACAGAGAGCAGAACACCGTATACATTTTTTAACTGCAGGGAGCCATGCAAGAATATTACTGAAGAAAGTGAAAACAATCTACTCAATGTGGTAAGATTGTATTTAGCGCATTTTTAAACTATTAGTTTCCACCCTTCGTTTTATAGAACTTCTGAACTAAAAAAAGTGTTTATATTTACATATATTGTTTATATAATGTTTATAGTCGCGAGATACTGTTATGTTTAACAAGGGCCCCGTCTCGGCGTATTCCACAATAAATATTTCAATTCTTCTTCCAGGAAATGGTAACGAACTATTAGATTTGAACCTGTGCCACAAGGCAAGCCGGCGTAATTTCAGAACATGCAATTGTTAAATTATCTAATACATAACAAAATCTCTAAAAACGATCCACGTAAGGGTATAGATCTGAGACAAACACATAATTAGAGCTCTTATTACAATTTTAGGTCCGACTACTATGATTACAAAAGATTGAGCATATTTTTTTTTCTTAATTTAGTTTGTTCGTTTTTGTAACAGCCCTCATTGGCGAGAGTTTCCCTGCCGTAATAGCCAGCCGTAGTGTTGTATTTGCCCAAAAAAAGAAGCACAAAAAACTTTAATTTCACGCACATTGTCAACTTGGGAGGAAATGCGGTTCGGAATGTTGGGAATTGTACCATTTTCCCCTTCGGGTGGTGATAATATATCTTATAACGAAGGAGTAGTCAGGAAAGCTTATGTCTCAAAGGAAGTGTCTGGAGGCCTGCGCAATTACGAAATGACGTGACGCTGCCATATGAAGAATAATCTGAAAAAATATAAAGCGCACCTTAAAGAAACACTAAAACCTCAATTTTTTTTTTTTTTTTTTACTTTTTGCCGTGGATTTTTTATGGTGTCAAACCTCTCCAATCAGTATTTTTCTACCGCGTCACGTATATTTTAAATAAAGTTAAAGAACGCAACTACTCGGAACCGAAATTGAAACTGGCCTGGGGAGAAAGAGGAAGCGTAGAGGACGACAGAGTTGCTGGAAGTCACGTGGATACACCTGCATCTCATATCTTGTAATATCTAATGAGTGGAACTGAGTTTTTTCGCAGGTTCTTTCTGGCAATATTATTTCGCAAGCTTAATAAGCTACCAATACGTTCGGCGAAGCAATACAGAAACTCTGTTGGAATCAAGACTAACCAAAACTAATATCTGATTACCATCACCGTTTACGTTACCTACAGCCACACTCCTAGGCTGGTCGTAGGCCCTCCCGAACCACCGTTTTCTTCAGATTCTGAAGTTAGGTCCGAATCAAACTTTGATTTATTACCAAATAAATCAAATTCCATATCATCTTCTTAGCGATGTTTTGAGTGTCCAATTGGGTCTAGTACGGTATCACCCTCAGTATCTTGTACATTTGATAAAGTTTTAAGATCGTCATTTGTAGTTAACCTTACAGTGCTAGGCTATATCCCAGGCATGTCTCTAGAAGAGCCTTATATCTTTGTAGGTCAATTTTGCAGTAGCTGGTATTTTTTTGCATCTGTTTGTTATCTTGCCAGTTATTTCAAGAAAATTATTGAACCGACTTTTCAAATCTTTGTCATTGCTCCGGGAGTTATTCTAACATAACTCTTTCAGAGGTTGAAACTATAACTACCCCTAAACCTCAAGAGATTTTTTTTCTAAATCACACATCGCTGAATAAGCCTTAAGCCCGGGTTAAAATACTTTCTTCAGTTCTTCTATAACTGGTTTGCCTCCATAATACTTCAAATCGATCTTCAACGTAATAATCTCAGCACGCTGTTACTGCGCTTTCTTTTTTCTTTTTTCTTTTCTTCATTTTTCCGGCCGTGCGAAGCAGCCGAAAAACACGCACCTTGCACAAAAATCGCAAAAGTGAGGAACTTCGTGTTCGACCTTCAGCGTTTCTCAAGCTCTTGCTAAATCTTGTTCGTTAGACAACCGTTGTGTGTTCGGGCAGGAGAAGGGGCGACGAATCGGCGACGTCTTCCTGGGAATCAGCTTGGTCGTTGGGCGTGTCGTACGGAAGAAACCCTAATTGTTTCGATATGCAAAGGATTTTTCTTTCAAAGCTAGTCAGATTCGCAGGTACTGCGAACAACTGCTCTGAAGTAGAGGTCCCACGCTCGTCGTTCGCCGCCACTCCGCTGACCGCGTACCACGTGACCGTCACGTCACCCATTCCTGTGATCCACGCCTCGTCCCAGCACCTCCTAGACAGAGAAGCCTGCGCGTCACGTGACGTAAAGTCACGTCCGGGTGTCCGGCATGGGCGTTGATTGGATGCGAGTGCCGCCTCAGCGTTCACGTGGGGCTCGTTTCTTATCCTAGTCCCACGCGAACGCTGACGCGGCAATGGCATCCAATTAGGTCCGGTGCGGGACTCCCGAATGGAACGTCATGTGACGTAACGCGCATGCTTTAAAGCTGTCTAGGAGGTGTTGCTCCACCCCTGACGCGGGAGCTCATAAAGTTGAACGCCTTTAAACTCCCGGACATTTGCCGGAGATTGAATTGAAAAGTGTTTAGTTTGACAACGGTACAACGTTCACCTTTGTTTGTTTTTTCTGATTTCCTTTGTCGCCCGATTCCTAGTTACACGAGTGAGAGAAACGGCAGAAACGTTTTCGGCTGACGCGACGCAAGTTCCGGTACTCCTCCGGGTCCGTGTCAAAAATCTCCCGTCAAAACTCGTCTAGCACGCCGCGATAATTCTTGCACGTCCAATCAGGTTTTTACCGACCAAAATATTTCTCGTGTCTACGGTGTACTTGAGTGATGTGCACGAGCAAGGAGTGCGTGAAAGCCTATCCCAACGTCCCCCCGCGGGCCCAAAAAGTCGTCGCTTCTACACGCCGAACCCCTCCCGAGCAGGACCATGCCTGTGTCACTCTCATGTCTTGGGTTAGTAAAGCTAGTGGCACTTTTCGCGAAGCCTATCACGGTGTTCCGTTTCGATCTGCCCGTAAGAACGGCGTACAATTCTCAACATCCCAAAATCACCCCAAGGTCACGTGACCCCCCAAGGTCACGTGACCCCCCCCCCCCCCCCGAGGTCACGTTACCACCTCTCCCCCCGAGGTCACGTGACCCCTCCCCCAAGGTCAGGTCCCCCCCCCCGGAGCATATTAAATAATGAGGGGAGGAGGAGAAGGAGGAGGGGTCTACCCTCCCCTCAGTACCCTTCCCTCCTCCTCCTCAAGAGCTGAGCTCCAATTCGGCGTTACAGGGAGTTGTAAACGGCTTTCACTTTATTTAACTTAAATTGATTCATGTTGATGCTCATCTGTCACTCGTGACACTACTGTTCGGTAATGGTTTGGTCGTTTTGAAGCGCAACTTGATCACCTGGGCTTCCGATAGATATGTAAATGACGCAGTCATCTTCGGATAAACGCACAGGGATGACTGTATATTTGCTAAGTCATTCATATGTTAAAATTATAATAGGCCTAAACAATTCACTACTGGACTACACTACGTTTAAGATAACTTAGAAGGCATCTTGTTGCTAATGAACGTGTAGTGCGAGCGATTCTTGAGGAACTTCGTGATTTCATAATTTATGGATGGATAAATTATAGTAACTGTTAATTTTTCAATGAGGCACTGATAAGGGGCTCTATCAATCGCTTTTGTGAAGGCGAAAAACATGATGTCAATTTGAACAGTTTGATATCATTGTGTAAGTATGCAGCTACTGAGTTATAAATGTATTCAACAATTGTGCGCTTTTATCTCCAATTTTTAAAACGTGATCATCAACGAAAGCAAACGGGTGTCGCTCGTTTACAATGTATAGTTATCCTAAACTTTATAAGTTTGTTAGAAAGAATATTTTAGGTCCTCAAATAATGTTGCTGTTGTTTGCGCAATTGCTATTTTGCATTCCTTATGGTAATTTCAGTGTTTTCTCAAAGGCTCATACTGCTTGGTGTATATGATTGCATTAAAGATTTCATCCCAAAAGTATTGATAATGTTTAAATGAAATGCAGGAGAAAAAAAACTAGATATTTCGATTTTTATTTGATAGAAATTTTAGTGGTGCATGTTAACTTGTAAACTTTGAAGGCATAGCTTCCTTCTTGAGAAAAACGAAGAGATCGTGCCTCACACTGTCAACGGCAGGCACAGACGCAGACCAAAGTGTACAGTTTTGTGTGGTGCTCCTCTTCCAGGCGATGCATTTAGATATGACAGTATCAGTTTTGCAAATTAACAAAATCCCTGAAAAGTTTAAAACTAGTACCTTCATTAAGAAGAAGTCTTTAAAAATGCATAGTCTTGTTCAGACACAGTAGTAGCTCAAAAATAGCAATGTAACACAATTATGCACTTGTTTTCAAATTATTCGATCAACAGGAGGCAGGAAGAAAAGCTGTAGGGTAGCTTGACGGGTCGCCGGTTACGTAAAGCTGCATTACTCAAATGGCGGGAAAGAACAAGCGAAATGGAAATAGAGGTTTTGAAAAGTACACAATCAAAGTTTTAAAGTGTCTTAATTTTAATCTCAAGGTTTAGCGCTAAACAGTAACAGCCTTTTTTCAATAGCTTTATTAGTTTGTGGTCTTCACACTTGGAAGATTGTTGTGTCTCAACGTAAACATGATCCACTTTATTCATTCGAAGCTACCTACATAATAAAATACAATATTCCCGAAAGTAAGGAATGAATAATTAGGCTGTCACTTTATTTTACTCAGTTTCACTTTACAAAAATACAACTCTTTTGCAATTGTTATTTTTACTGAAGAGTTCTACAAGAAAATAGCAAGACTTGAAACTCCTATGGTTGTAGCCTAGTTTTGTTAACATAAACAGGCTCTACCCCATTTTATAAAAAATTGCGAAAATCAAATTGCAATACTCAGATGCGGAGGAAGTTTAAAATTAGGTAAAATAAATGGGGCTACGTATAAATTTCAAATCAGTGAAAAAGAGGAATTATTTCTATCAAAAATGAAGTTACGGCCGTATCAGTTTCCCGACCACTAACAATAGGTGATATTTTGGTGGATATCTCATAATAATGCATATATACATACAATTAATTACTTCGGAAAACATTATCTTGAACTAAATTGTGTGCAAACTAATTTTACTCATAAAATTGTAATTTTATGAGTAAAATTTATTTACCTATAAACCATATTTAAACCATATGCTCATAAACCTTATTTAAACCATATGCTTATTCTCACTACTTAAAAAGTTAATAAGTAAACTTTATCTAATGATTTAGCTAATTAGTTTGTTTCTTGAAATTCTGGCGTCCGCCGTCGCTGGCAGTTTGTCTCCGAAGATATATAATCTTTTTCTTAGCCGCCCTATTTTTAGGGATTTTCAATAGCCTTCGCTGAAACACCCGTATACGCAACATACGCTCAGATACACTGATTATTAGATGCTCATAACTGCTGCGCATAAACCGATAATGCGTGCACATATCGGTTTGAGTAAGTAAATTACTCTCCAAGCTGTTTTTTATATATATATTGAATATGCGTATAATCTAAAGCTACTATTTATGGCAATTATTTCGAAATATCTCAAAATGCTCGAGTGGAACCAGCTCAAAGCTTTTCACAGGATATCAATTAGAACATACGTGTAACCAAGTTTTTCTAATTTCAATTTTCTCATTTGATTTACCAAGCCATCAGAAGCGAGAGAAGATTCGAAGACCCTGGATATCTGTAAAACTAGTTGTTGTCCGGATTACAACAAACAGTTTCATAAAACGACAAAAGGAGCTCCGGATGGAATGCCATGTGGATCGCATCAGGTGGGCTGTTTTTTTCATCTCAGTATTCCTTGAACACAAGCACAATACACTCCCAAAGGTGGGTAAATAGTACTCCAGAAAAAGAAAAAAATATATATAATAATATACACGTTCAATAAAGTTGCATTCCAGCGTGCAGCTGCAGTAGTCAAACTGAACTAGAATCATTATTTATTGCGTGAACTAAAGTTTTAGACAAACTAACCATTTGTGGAAAACCTGTTGAAAGATAATAGAAATTGAGTAATACCGGACGATATTACAGAGCCACTGACAACCCCAACACTGATGCTTAGAATTTTGTCGAACGCTTCTTGATGGCGTAATCGGCAATGCCAATATTCGCCTACTGCGTGCTGCCATCTTCGCCAACCGTGCCGTTCAAGGCAATTTGAGAGTACACAGTCTTCTCCGGAATATCAACGCAGCGTATACATTCACAGTCCAGTGATTAGGCAGTTTTCAGAGAGGTAATAAGTTGGAAAAGTGCAGAGCCAAAAATAAAATGTTTAGTACGCGGACGCGGTCGTCAAACATTCGTGTCCTCGTCCCGAGGCGTGCTTCTTCTGGCTTCTTTTTTTTTTTATGATGACGTAGATCTTTTAAAAATCTAGAGCTTCCGCATAAATCATGTCTGCAACAATTGTTAGTGCAGTCATCAAATATTTACAGCGCTGGCAACCACAGAACGCTGTAGATGTTGAGATATAAAATTACAAATTTAGATCCCGGAAGCGATTGCAAAACATTGCTAAAAAAAATATAACTATATATTGCGGGGCCCTCCGCTTGCGGAAAATGGATACATGGTAGGCGCGAAGAGCAAAAGGCACGCTGTAGACGGGAGAGCGTCTACGCCATCTATGAGTAACAAGAAAGTTTAACAACAGATCACAGCTTACAAAACCTTTACTCGCTCCAAAAAAAAATATATATATATAAATACAGGGTGTCACAAAAAGTACAGGTTTTTTTTTTAACCGCCAAATTAAGCTAGGTATGGCCGAACGCTCATTCTCCGTCCAATGGTAGCGGTAGAGGTCACAAAAAGATGCCAAAGTTTCAGCCCGATCCGATACCTGATTCAAAAGGTATCAGTGATTTTTTTGATAACTTGAATGAGAGAATGGAGCCCATTTTCGCCCATTTTCGGTTTCTTGTAGCCATAGAGCCCCATGTATTCGAAAACTCCGTCGGCCACTATTTTCCCTTTGAAGTTGTTAGAAAATCACATAACTTTTGAATAAGATATTGGATCGGGCTGAAACTTTGGCATCTGGTTGTGACCTCTGGCGCTACCTTTGGGTGCAGAACGAGCGTTCGGCGATGCCTAGTTTATTTTTGCGGTAAACAAAACCTTCTATTTTTTTTTTTGTGACTCCCTGTAAAGTAAAGCGCTTTGGCAAGGAGGGTACCTTTTTGCCATAAATTTTGTTGACACACGATGGAGCTTTAAATTGTGGTTTCTAGAAATTGTTTTTTTTTCTGAATCTGCACCTACGTAGCTTTGAATTTTGAGGATGATATCTAGAGATCATTTCAAAGCAATTGTAAGAGCACACAAAATAGCCGGCGCCAGTAGCTTTTTAAAAAAAGCCCACTGTAGACGAGTTACATTGAAACCGAACATCAGCGAGCCTGAAAAATGTGCGGGAAAGAGATTCCGGATAACAAAATGCCAAAAAGATAGAAATACCTCGAGTAATAATTGCTTTGCGTGTATGTTTAGACGGCAGGAACTTTGACGGCTAAGATGAGCATCGGGGCCGACTTGATGTAAACAGAGTCTTAGCTGAGACTGGGGAACGAAAGCATTGCGAAAGCCAGCGCGCGACCTGAGCGGGACACAAGCCACGTCTCGAGCCGCTCGCGCGCACCACCCTTTGCACTGCTTTTTTTCACCAAGTTTCAGCTGAGACACTGTCTCTAGCAGGCCGGCTCCGTGTCTCCGTTGTAAATAAGGAACTTAGCCGGTGCAGTGGCACTGCTAGACTGTGGTATAGCCTCCTCTATACTCACAAAGCCTGGCAGTTCAACGATGGAACCATAGAGTGCCCGGTCGCAGATTTGGAGCACGAGGATCTGGTAGCACAGAGCATCAAAGATCCGTTTCTCGGGGAAACTGGACGTCAGCGCACAGCTTTCACAGCTACTAGGACCCGAAACACACTTGATCGCTAAGAAGAAGTGTGTTTCGGCGTCTCACCGCAACGGGGCGCCTGTCACGTGCCCCTTCTCTCATGCCTCGTCTCCCGCTCCACCTTTTCCATTTCGGCGGCCGCTTCTCGTGGTGATCTGCCAGATTTCGTCAGCTATTACTGTGGTCTTTAGCATGCATCCCGCAGCGGCCACCGTCCTACTGAACAGCATGCTGGTACGATGCTGATTCGGATCAAAACAGGCACGGGTCGGGATTGAACCGATAATTCCTGGGCTCTGGAGCACGAACTTTCGTTAAACGCGTCCCGATCTGCAGGGCGTTGACACCCTCGACCACCAGTCCCCCTGAAAAGAAGACAAATACCTCGAGGCAAATGCAGAAACTGTGTGGGAGAGGATCACACTATACAGTGGTGGTAAAGGCGGTTTAGAGAGGCTAGGAAGTGTTAATCGTAGAAAATTGCAAGAGCAGAAAGTGGATAAAGAAATTGAACAGAGCTATTAAAAGAAGGGGTTTACGCAATTGAAACAAGCAACCAATGTTATAAAAAAATACTTTATTATGGGGAATACACCTCCCACAACTCATTTCCGTTAGTCCACCCGCAAACGGAGACGAATCCTTTCATAGAATTCTTGATGCCCCAGGCTCAAAAGAGCTCATGCTCCGCGCTGTCCGCGCCGGGACGTCGTGGGACGAACCCGCCGATAAGAATCCTGTGCGCCATTGGCTCCGAGATCATGTTTGAAGGCTCTGCACATTTTATTCATTCAGTTTGCTCTGTCGTTTTCTAAACCATACAAAAATAATTATTCAACTGTAATTAACTAAAGCAAGATTAGTATCTTACTTATTCTTATTCATTGTCCCTGTTGAAATAATATTGTGTTCTTTTATGATATATAAATATTTTTAGGATTCACTTTTTTCGTGTGCCTATTGTATAGTGTGTGAAAAAATAAATTATTAAGGTGATTCTTGTTTTTAGATTAAAAAAAACTCTGAGTCTCTGCTTGTTGTTCCGCTTTGATAAGTCTTATGAGTCCAAAAACTTCGAAAGTTAATGAGACCAGATCCGACAATCTTGGCTAGATGAAAAGTGTTATCAAGACCCACTTTCCTTACTTTATTTTATAAAAAAAGTAATTTTGTGCTGTTTTTCCTTTCTATACACTAGATAGGGACAGGTTTTATGCCAACATACTACTCCCGAGTGCATTACGGAGAAGAGCGCGTCTTCGTGCTTTCCAGGAGATTCGAGTTTACTCTTACTCCGAGTGTAAAAGATAAGAAGGCCGTCATGACCTTGCCCAGTCAGTCTCGCGCTAGCTAGCCCCCGAGCATTCTAGGTAGAATATTCCAGATACCGAGTGCAGTAAGTAGATAAGGAGCCCAGCGCGGTCTTGCCGACACACTCAGGCTCTCCCGACGACGGCGAACTGTTTCTCACGCCACCAGTTCACCAGACGCCGTACCGAGACTCCTTACAAAAGAGGGAATCTCGAGAAGCGTAAAATTAAAATGAAGGTTTATTCGACAAACTTAAGCCACAGCCAAAAAAAAGAAAGAATGATCGTTGAAACAGCAAAAGCGAACATCGCAGCGTATTCGCCCTAGAATGCTCGGGAGTGAACAAAGGCGAGATTGATTCGGCAAGGTCATCTCGGCCACCTTATCTTTTACGATCGAATAAGTGTAGCCCCGTATCTTCTAGAAGAAGCGCTCATTATCGGTCGTGCACGCGGTAGTAAGCAAACCATACGAGACTCCCTAGAATAAATAATGTACGTACAGTGCTAATCACACTTGTCTATAACGCGCGAGCGTGCGGCTTTCTCCGGGGAGCGCTAGACTGGTGGCATTCGCGGAACTAAGCTAGTTACGTGGCGCAACATGGAACGGCCCGCTCGAGGGGTGTCCTGCCCACTCTTGCAGTTTGATAAGCGATAAAAGTAAAGTGCTTTATGATTTTTTTTTGATTGATGACGAAATCGTTTATACGCCTTCATGCTTTAGTGTGTTTATTGTTCGAGCAATTAATGATGTTTGTAAAAAGCGTGCGAGCAGCCTTCCGCGTTCGCTGCCAGCTGATGGAGTGGGCAGGACGACACCCCTCGAGCGGGCAGCTCCATGTTGCGCCACGTGACTAGCTTAGTTCCGCGGATGCCACCAGTCTAGCGCTCCCCGGAGAAAGCCGCACGCTCGCGCGTTATAGACAAGTGTGATTAGGACTGTACATAATACTAACGTATCCTTTAAGCCGAAATCTAAAAGAACACTTTAAACATGCTATTTAGCCCAGATAACAATAAAAAATATTCCATTCTTATTCACTTTATGGAGTGTCTTTAGAACACGTCAAGGAGCAAGTATTTATAGGCATATCTTTTTTGAAAATTTTAACTTGTCGACGCATACACAAACTCTGCTTTGAATAATCTAAAGCGATAGGATGCGTATACGAAATTCATAAACGCCTCCCAGCTTGTTTAAACAAATTACACTATTATTCGTTATGCGATTGAAGAGTGTCCTATGGCGTAATAGTGTGAGGTACAACAAGCAAGGTGAGCTACAGCAAAATAATAGTCTTTAGAAAAGATTACTTCGTATATTTTAACTACTTTCGGGGCACTGGCATTACCTACGTACAAACACACTCTTAAAAAAGGGCGTCATTAAAAGCTGACTAAACGCATTAATTTTAATTGCTCCTACTGATATGCAAGGCGAAACTGCACCTAAATCTGAAAAGTCTTATCTCAGATTGAATATGGGTAAAAGTTTAACATCCGGAAAATATCAAAAATAGGAACCAACTACGCCAATCATCGATTCAATTACCACGTTTATTCTTCGCTTAATAGAATTGAATACCATACCAGCCTTCAAGAGCCCCCCTATCATATTCGAGAAAAGGACGCAATGGCACTTGGTGCAGAGTGATATTGTTCTTGTATAAAAAGAAGATATAGGAGTGAGATAAAAGAAATATTCATAGCGTCTTTATTTTTTTGTGTTTAGTACTGCTTCAAGCAGATCTAATGTGCAAGATACTTTATAATTTATATTTCGCACTCTAATTTCCACAATGCCCCGATCTAACACATAACTTTAAATGGACGTATGGGCCGAATCAAGATGCAACAGAAGCTTAACATAAAACCTGTCCTTCTTTAGACATTGAAGTTTCGTGGATTGAGATGTATGCCCACCCAAAAGCAGGGTATTTTCGTATGAAGTACGCCGGTTTTACCTGCAAAGTCGCTTTGTGAACTGGTGGTATTATATTGTCATGAATGAACAAACGTGGAAACAAAGAATAACTGAGGAAACTGAAACGTTTAAGGGGGGCGAACTTGTGCCAAAAAATAAAAAGGAAACAGAAGATAACAGCACAGCGTCGCGGGCGTCGAAGTCGGCGAAAGAGTAGAGTTGAGCGCTGGAGCGAAACTGACTCCGGCTTGCCACGCAGAGCCCCTTTTGTACACGCGTGGGCTTCTGGAACAATCGGTTTGGAAGGTTCGGCGTGTAGAACATTCTAACCTTGAATCAGAAACACGTTTCTGGAATTTACTAGAACATTACGTCAGAGTCAACAAAAATGCGTCACCGTGGCCAGGAATCGAACCCTGGCTTTCTGGGTGGAAGGCTTGCGCGATACTCGTTATGCCACGAGCGCACAGCCCTGCTTGATCAGCTGCGTTCGCAGCAAAAGGTAATACAGGACTGCTTAACAAATGCAAATAAATTGAAGTTTGCCTTCTGCAGACAATACAGGAAGAAATATTGTCGGTCGCCCACTGAATGTTTGCATTCATCCTAACTCTATGCTTGTGGGTCTCGTTAAAATCCTACGAAAACGGACAATTTAATGTGTAGTTTTCCACAAGGTTTCGCCCCAATTATCTGTTATAAACTGCGGTAATACAATGCACCTTGCAACATGTCTGCAATTTTAGGTAAAACTGATCATCCATTAGCTCTTCCACAGTTCCGTGGGCTCAGTCTGTGAAAGTGTTCTTGTACCATCTAATTTGTAAAATCTTGTCATCTGAGACGTCTAGATTACGCCTGTAACGAACGAATTCGAAGAATTTTCAGGCGAGATGTTAGAAATCTATTTTTTCGCGATGTTATTTCGTAAGTGTTGTTAACAGATGTTGCGTTTATGAAATATGCCAAACCTCTCGTTTTCTGCTTTCTCAACAGGTATGCCTTCAGCAAGTGTGCATCAAACTGCCGGAACAAAAGAGCGAAGTTAGCACAGTTCCAACGGATAGTGACACGTGACTCCAAATAAAAAAATCACTATGAAGCCTTAGAAGTGCAACCTGCACACTTTTTTTAGGCGCAATAAACTGTTCGCATGCTTGAAATTACTGTGGCATGTCCAGGTTCTAGCTAGGACTTGCCAATCTCAAACCTGTGTGTGCACACTGGCGCGCGCGTGGGCGTGCGTGTGTGTGTGCGGGGGGGGGGGCGTGTATTCGTGGGTGCGCATGTATTTGCGTGCATGTATGTGTGTGTGTTTATGCGTGCAAGTCAGTTTCGTCCTGCGTGATTGCGTGTTCGCGCGTGTCTGCGCATGCATGCGTGTGCGCGTGCGTGTGTGTGTGTGAGTGCGGGTGCGTGGGCGTGCGTGCGTCGGTACTTGCGTGTGGGTGTGTATGTGTTTGTGTGCCTGTAATATTTTCATGCCTGTGTGCGTGCGTCAGTTGGAGCTGAATAAATGAAGGGCCTTCCTCGTTCTCGTGAAATTCAGTTGACTTTCTTATTATTTGCGTTGCTTTCTTTGTTTACTCTATTCGCAAGTGTTTCCCTTTGATATTAAATTTGTTCTCCCTCCTCTTTCGGGATTATCTTTGGAAGCTGAACTCCCTGCCACTCTGTCGCCGGAAGAAGGGTGTGTAAAAGAGGCAATCGTAAGGCAGCCATGAAGCTCCCAGGTAATTGCCTCGTTTCCGATATCTCACCAATATCGCTAACAACAGCAACAACTGCTTGGCAGCCCGTTTCCGAAAAAGATTCTTTTGCAAACCTCATTAGGTCAAGTTTGGACATTGTGAGTGTTATATATTTTGCTTCTAGCAGCTGGGGTCATGTGGGATATATCGAAGGGACCTGGCCCTTTGGTGAGAAGTTATTAGCCCGGGGGTGGCCGTGAATTCCTTCTACATATTGTACTGTTAGTCCCAAGTTGGCCTGGAAGGATCGTGGTGATCTTCCAGCGCTTCAGTTGTAATAGTGATAGGTTAAGAATTAAGTGGCAAATCGGTATCACGAAAGTTTTATTTGACTCCGCTAGCTGGTCGCATCAACTCGCTTCTTAACGTCACTGACGTCAAGAAACTATCGTTTTCACCAAGGAACGCGCTGTTTTAAACGTTGGCCCCGCCGACGCGGACGCCGGGTTCTCAAAGTTGCCTGGGTTTACGTAACAAAGCCGTCGCCTTATCCGCTTTTGTGCACGGTGCACGGTCGTAACGATGTGCGAAATCAACCGTTGTCTCGCCGTCCAATTTATCGCATTCACGTGGAGGGGAGTTTAGGTTGAGAGTACGGAAAAGTGGCCAAAAAACCCGTTTCCAGTAGGAAAGGTTGTCATGCTAATTCAGTAAAAACAGGCGTACATAAATCTCTAATCAGCGACGCACTGGACGAGTTGTCTACACATTTTATGGGTTGTGTGGCTGAGAGGTAGTGGTCAAGGTTAGACGATGCAGGCTATGAGAGTAAGTCCATAAAAAGACAATTAGAATTGCAGCAAAGGGTTAAACAACGACCAGAAAAAGAAGCGAAAAAACATAATACGGTTATTCCGTATTTTCACACATTTTCTCACAACCTCGCAAATGTCTTAAGGTATTTTCACACGATTTCTCACAACCTCACAAAGGTTCGTGTAGCGTTTAGGTCCAACTTTAAACTGAACCGTTTGACACCGTTTCAAACGAGAAAGGAAGTATGTCAGAAAGCGCACCGCGATAAAACGGTTGATTGCAAGGAAGGGGTGATCTATAAAATACCACTGGAATGTGGTTTCAAGTATGTGGGTTAAACGGCAAAATGTTTAAATGATAGATTGGTAGAGCGCAAACGAAATGTAAAAGTAAACGCATCCAATTCAGAGATTGTTAAACACATTAGAGAGTGCAACGATTTACGGTACTTTGGTCGTGAATTGACGTAGTGCACAGAGAGCGTTACAAAACTAAGACGCTCTAAGACAGACAATTCTTATCAAATTCATCGGTAACTGTATCAGCCGGGTTCCGAAAGAAAGGTCCCCGGAAAAAACATCCCGGAAAAAATGTTCCTGGAAAAAATGTCCCCGGAAAATATGTCCCACACTTTAAGAAAAAATGGAGGAAAAAAAAGTGAAAGCCGTTTACAGCTCCCTGTAACGCCGAATTAGAGCGCTGCTCTTCAGGAGGGGGAGAGAAGGGTACTGGGGGGGGGGGGGGGGGGGGGGGGTCAACTGACCGGAGGGGGGGTCACGTGACCTTGGGGGGTCACGTGACCTGGGGGTCACGTGACGATGACAATGCCGGGGATGTCATCAGTGACGATGACGATGCGCATACCGATGACGTCACCAGTGATTTTTATTTATTTATTCGAATACCTACACCGCCCAGATCTGGGCATTATTGTAGGAAGGTAAGGCAATACAAAACAATAGCAAACGATACATATAGAGATACACAAGAACTATTGTGATGCAGAAATAGTGGATATGACATCTTAGGAGAAAAAAACAACAAACAACACTTTGTACAATATATGAAAACAAAGTATAGTGACTGGCATTATTAGAAGAGCAAAAGAAAAATTATTCAAGCAGCAAGTTTTTTAGGGCAGTAGGAAAGGATGAAGGAGCCGCAGAGATAATTTCAGTTGGTAAATTGTTCCATTCGTGTATTGTTCGTGGAAAAAACGAGTGCTTAAAAACGTTAATTCTGCATCTATATTCTCGTACTTTTAAGTGATGATCTGTACGCGGCGACACATAACTGGGCTCCTTAATATAACGTTCTTTCTCGCTGCCGGTCCTACCGTTTAGTATATTAAAAAATAAAGTGAGCCTTAGGTACCTTCGTCTGTCTTCCAACAGAGGCCATCCCAGCTTGCGGCGTATTTCAGATGATCTTATAGAGAAATCATAATTGCCGGAGACAAACCGAGCTGCCCGTTTCTGAATACGTTCAAGTTGTTCAATGGTGTGACGGGTATGCAAATCCCATGCGGCACATGCATATTCCAAAATGGGACGTACATTCGATATGTACAATGCGTCTTCAAGGTTAGAAGGTGCCTGACTAAAATTGCGCCTCAGAAAGTTTAATGTGCGGCTGGCCTTAGATGACAAATAATCAACATGAGCATTCCATGACAAGTTACTCGAAAATAAAACGATAAAATGACGATGACAATGCGGATGTCGGTGACGTCATCTGTGACGTCATCTGTGATGATGACGATGACGATGCGGATGCCGGTGACGACATCAGTGACATCACTGATGACGTCATCAGTGATGATGACGATGACAATGCGGATGTCGGTGACTTCATCAGTGACGTCACTGATGATGTCATCAGTGATGATGACGATGACGATGCGGATGCCGGTGACGTCAATAGTGGCGTCACTGATGACGTCACCAGTGATGATGACGATGACGATGCGGATGCCGGTGCCGTCATCAGTGACGATGACGTCATCGGGGGGGTCCCGTGACCTCAGGGGAGTCACGTGACTTCGGGGGTCACGTGACCTCAGGGGAGTCACGTGACTTCGGGGGTCACGTGACCTCGGGGAGTGACGTGACCTGGGGGTTACGTCACCTTGGGGTGACCTTGGGGGGTCACATGACCTGGGGGCCACGTGACCTTGGGGGATCACATGACCTGGTGGTCACGTGACCTTGGGTTGACCTTGGTTACGCCGACGGCGACGGCGACGGCGACGCCGCTCAAGGCGGAAACGGGCGCCTAGGATCTGCGCTCTAAAAAGTAGCAACGGTGCGTCTTCCTCCCTTCTACTGACGCGCCCCCAAGCGGACACGAGAAAAGGGGAGGAACGAAACGTTTTAGAGCGCAGCTCTTAGGGGCCCGTTCCCGGCTTGAGCGGCGTCGGCGTCGGCGTCGGTGTCGCCGTCGGCGTCGGCGTAACCAAGGTCACCCCAAGGTCACGTGACCCCCCCCGAGGTCACGTGACCCCTCTCCTTCAAGGTCACGTAACCCCCCTCCCCGAAGTCACGTGAGACCCCCGAGGTCACGTGACTCCCCGATGACGTCATCGTCACTGATGACGTCACCGGCATCCGCATCGTCATCATCATTATCACTCATGACGTCTTCAGTGACGTCACTGATGACGTCACCGGCATCCTCGTCGTCATCGTCATCATCACTGATGACGTCCCCGGTATCCGCATCGTCATCGCCGTCATCACTGATGACGTCGTCAGTGACGTCACTGATGACGTCACCGGCATCCGCATCGTCATCGCCATTATCACTGATGACGTCATCAGTGACGTCACTGATGACGTCATCGGAATCCGCATCGTCATCGTCACTGATGACGTCATCAGTGACGTCATCAGGGAGTTGTAAACAGCTTTCACTTTTTTCTCCTTCTCCAGTGTTGGGAACGCGTTGTGGTCCGGGGACTTGTTGTACGGCAGGGAGCCGAGCCAGGGCAGGAACTCATGTAGAGGCCCTACTCGGGAAGGACCAGGGAGCAGGAGGGTGTCTCGGGAGAGCCCTTGAGAACACCAGAGAACACAAAGTAGCAGCCACCTGCTGCTGCTTTTACAACGTCACTTTTCCCCACATCCCTAGTAGGGAATCTCTATCGTTGATTGTTCGTAACGTCAAGGCACGCCATCTCCCTCTCTCTCGCACCGCCACACGCGACACACATACGGAAGGGCCAGACATCCTTGGCCGCGGTGTCGCCGGTCAATCTCGGCGGACAATGGTGCCATCGAAGTCGAAGAAGGCGAATGACATCCATAATTGCAGGCGTCCTGGCTTCCGTGTGTTAGGGGATAATCCCAAGGGCGATCCAAGCTGGGAAAATTGAATAAAGCCCCCTCCTTCGTCGAGGACGTTCCAAGGCTGTACGGTCGCCGTGCGTCGAGGTCAGACAGAAGAAGCAATCAAGGAGAGGGACCGGACGGCAAAGTCGGCTAGATGACACTGGCGTCAGCCCGATGATCCCTCGGAGAAGGTCACGTCGTCCCCGCAAACCAAGGTGCGTTGGAGACTCCAGGGCGCCTCTCGCCCTGTCTCCGGGCGCAGCTGACCGTAACCACCTGGCGAT